TTTACATTTTCTGTAAAGAACAGTATTGCAATATATCGTATCGTGACGTGCTTGCCAATACGCAGCCCTAGCGTGCAAGTATTCTTCGTCTTAGATCAGCACAGAAAGTCACAAAGGCATCAAAAGGACTAGAAATGAACGTGCAATATGTTTTTTGTACTTCTTTGTGTATGTGTATGTCTCTGAGAGAGAGATAGAGAGAGGTTGAGAGATGAGTCTTTGTTCCTTGTTACACCAAGCCAATTTCCAGTAATCCCCCTTTCAATGGAGAATTGGAGGAAGTGTAGGAGCATGATGGCCAAAGCCGAGGCCCATTCACTCACAATAGACCTCTGGTTAGACCGCTCAGAGCTGGGGATTGTGCGTTGAACAAATACTGTTGGCTTTTCATGGGGAAGGTTCGCAGATCAAACCTCTGGCCGGGAAAAACTGTCCCCATCTAGTAACTACAAGAAAATATGGGATGCCGAGCATTACTACTGCAATCAACTATTTGCTATAAAGATTTAGTGGACTTATGTCTACCTGAGGAGACAATGAAGTCTCCTCCTCCTCGCTTTGTTGACATAGCCGGGCCGCACCTCATTTAGTGCATGTATGTGCATGGTGCGTCAGCTCTGCAAATAAGTTTGGCTTTCGTGTCTGCGTAGATGTTTCATACACTTGATTGTGATGTGTCAGGAAGCCTAATGCGTGTGTCTGCTCCGGCTCTAATGCAGGTCAGCTTTTAAAGGACTTCGTGGACTAATTACTCGGTTGAGCGACTCAGCTGATTAATAGACAAACTAACTAACCACCTGAGTGCCTGCTTAATACACTGATTCAGTGACTGACTGACATGAAGTTAACGAATTTCCATTCAGCTGATTCGCCAACTAAATAAATGAACTGACTGACTGGTTACCCCAACTGGCTGCGGGACTGATGGGTTGACAGTCTTTTGGGCCGGCCGGCCAGCAGAGTGTCCACTTGATTGAATAACTGGCCGCCTGATAAACTAACCGTCTTGTTTCGGAACCTCTTTCCGTGTGGTCATCAGTGCATGAGTCGCTTCCGCCTTACACTCCATGTGTCATCTCTCTGTCTCTTATTTTCACTCTCCTCATCATTTCTTTTCCTCTATCTGCTCTTTTCAGTTTCTATTTCTTTTTTTTCCTTTGACTCTCCTCGGAGTGCTTTTTTCCTCTTCTCATCATCTCCTTCTCTCAGTTTGAGGATCCTCTGCCAGCGAGAATGTTTCTCTTAAAAAGTTTTTTTCATTCGCTCAGCCTTTTATTCTTGATTTAGCGATCATATGCGGTTCTCAGTGACTTGCAAGAAATGTGGAAAGGACACGGAGTTCCTGAAAAGACGCCAACAGGAAAATGACATCATGAGAAAAGGGAATGCGAGGAAGGGAAAACAGAGATCTGCAGAGACCACAGTTCAGTGCTAATGATAGTCTGCTGCATACCCTATGACCTATAGTGTGTGCGTGTGTGTGTGTGTGTGTGTGTGTGTGTGTGTGTGTAGTTATGACATACATAGAGGGAGCAATGCAACAGAAAATCTGATGGATAAAGCAGGATATCTGCACACCATTTCTGCATCTTATTCTCACACACCTACACACACACACACACACACACACACCCTAGATGTGATTCATAGTAGGCCCTCTATGCTTAGCAGGGTAGAGAATAAATGTTTTTAATGGTCCTAGGCTGTTTGGAGTGCTTATGTATTGTACATGTTTGTGTGTGTGTGGCTCACGTCAAGTAGGGAGCCATAACACTGATGTGTGGGAGTCACTTGAAGGTCTAACATAAGGTGTTTAAATAGCTCTGTGTATGCATTGCTCCTTAGGAGTGTTTTTAACATTTTTGTCTCGTTACAGACAATAGTGATCAGTGTGAGCTCTCCAATAGTGGTCGTTAACTCAAACAAAGAGTGAGCTGTTATATGAGACGGCCTTTTATTTCCGTTTCCCTCTGTTTTAAGAAGTCAGATTTAAATTCAAAGTTTTCTTTTTGTTCTTTAATGTTTGCTGGTGATGCAAAATTCAACCTGTTTTTCGTCTTCATTCAGCACTAGATTAAAGGACTAATCAGATTGAGATGTAACACAGTCTGCAGTAAGTCATTCGTATCAATGGCACGAACCATTATTACACGTACTGTACTAACAGGGGCAATCAATGCACACTCTAATGCAGTTTGAGCATAAGACATAGATAATATGTAGTATAATGCCAAATGATACTCCCAAACTTGGGATAACTTTTTAAACAGCAATGGTATAATTGTACATTTTAAGACCCACCTCTCCTCAAATGACGAAGCCTTTACTTTAAAACATGCACTCCATAATAGAAAGTATTCTCTCTTTGCAGCTGATCTCCATCGATTACAAAGCCCTCACAAGTAGTACTCTTGTATGTTTCCAGCACCGTTGTTTGTGTGTGTGTGTGTGTGTGTGTGTGTGTGTGTGTGTGTGTGTGTGTGTGTGTGTGTGTGTGTGTGTGTGTGTGTGTGTGTGTGTGTGTGTGTGTGTGTGTGCACAGAACATGAGTAAGGAAGTGCATCATTACTGCTGGTATGATTGGCATCCAGGACTGACAGCTCTCCTTTTGGGGCTGAAAGCACACGGGTAAAAGCTTGCTGGATAAATTAAAGGCAAAAAAAAGCAAAGGTGTACAAGAAGCACTTTGAACCTCCTCTGGACGTGTGTGTGTGTGTGTGTTGTATTCCCTGTGTGCTGTTTCTCTTAGTGCATCTCACCTCTCATTATACATGGCTCATTAACGCTGGAGTGTGTATTACATTGTCTGAATTGAACAAGCAGTACAGCAGAAACACATTACATACTATTGTGTCTTTTTTCTCTCTCTCTCTCTCTCTCTCTCCTATCTCTTCCACTTTTTGGTTTTTGTTTGTCTTTGTCGATCTTGTCTCCAGGCAGTTTACTTGAGAGATTTAGTCTTCAGCTGTGCTTCGTGTCTGAAGCCAAGCCTATTACCTAATGTTTGTGCATGTGTGTGTGTGTGTGAGATAGAGAGAGATTTTGTGCCTGATTAGCAGTAGGAGTGAGATGCAGTTCTAAATAATTTAGCTACTGCCTACTTGAGCCAATACTAGCAAACTCCTGGGTAGAAAGAGGGATGGGAGGGAGTGTCTGTACATGGAGCGGCCTTGGACGCTGCCGCCATAATACGTTAGTCCTCATACCCGATGTAAACTCATTGCAGACTGGAGATTTGAAAGAGTGCTGCCACAGAAAGCCTGTCAATCCTCTCTGCTGCGCAGCAAGAAATAATATGCTTTGACATTTAAACTCATTCATAAAGCATTAGCTAATGAAATCACTATTAAAGGCAGGTATTCATGCGTCATTCGTTCTGTTTGAGCCGGGGGGGCGTTGATACATCTTGTCTTTTCCAAGATAAACTACCGTTCTGATTGGGTAGGAAAGCTGCTTAGAGCAGATCCATCAGACAAAAGTCAATTATACTACTACTAATCCTAGGAGTAGAATTTATCAACCCAAAGCATGCAATTAATATCGGACTACAATGCTCTTTTAGTAAAAAAAGAAAATAGATGTAGCTCAGTCTAGTTCACAAAAAGTTTTATGGTCGTACAGAGTTGCTGTACAGCGTGATCAGCAGAAGGAAAACAACAAGCGCTCTCAGTATTTCCTCAGTCATGAGTTCAGAGCTCAAGTCTGGCAAAGATGATGCTGGAAGGTACTAAGCGGTGTCCTGCTGAGAACTAACACAGCACACACACACAGCACCCCACCATATGAGTTTGCTCTTATAAGCATTTAAGCATACGAATGTTAGTCAAGCACCAGCTGCTGTATGCGGCGTGTTGTTGTTGTTGTACCTTTGGCGCTGTGTTCCGACACTGACTCTGTTGTGACCTTTCAGCTAAGCCCAACTGGATTTAATCAGCAGCAGACTCCTAAAATTCACACACAAACACAGCCAAGAACTGTCCATACACACACACACACACACACACACACACACACACATACACATTCACACACCTAGACTGCTAAGTCAGGGCTCCTTCTTCTGTAAATAATGGTTAGGTTTGTTGTATTCCAGAGTCTTTGTTTGGATCCCATTAGTCCAAAAAAGGCCAGAAGTCAAACCTGTTAAAATGTGGATTCAGTAACACGTTGCTGTGTATCAGTGTTTGACTTTCAAAGCATTTAGCAGATACAGTACGGCTCCTGGCTGGTCGTTGGATGTTTTGAATGTCAGAATTTAGGAGACGTTGCCCGTTTTTAAACCAAGGTCAGCGGATGCTACCAATGGGTCATTTTATACGACTGTACCAGAATGTCTTTGCAGTTTCTTTATACAGGCTTGTTTCCTCTATGACAGGAGCGGTGGTGGAATAAGTATTGATATCTTTCACCAAAGTAAAAGAAGCAGTACCACAGTATATACTCTATTTCAAGTGAAAGTTCTGAATTCAAGTAACAGTACAAAAGTATTGGCATCAAAATCTACTTAAAGTATCAAAAGTATGTGTATATATATAATATATATATATATGTATATATTTTGTACTACTAATGCATTCATGTATAAGCATTATACATTATTCTATAACATTTACACACTATTAAATATAAATCTTACAATGCATCCTATTTGATATGGTTTGTATAATTTGTCAGATAAATGTACTGGAGTAAAATGTATAATATGTACTTGCAGTTAAGTGTAAAGTAGTATACAATGAAGAATACTCATTAAAGTACAAGTAACTCCAGAATGCACTGAAGTGCAGTGCTTGAGTAAATGCACTTCCCATCTGGTTGCAGTTCTATTCTGCAACTGGATGGAAGTGTTTTTAACATTTTAAATAATTCAAACGCCTTTATTTTGAATCTGCTGTCGCTTAGCGTTGTTGGACGCACTGGGATAGGGTTACTGTTTGAATCTGAAAACCCTAATGTGGATGCAACGTCCTCGCTGCCCTTTTCCTTGTCTGTGTGTTCAGAACATGCTGTCGGAGAAGGTTGACCAGATGATGGAGTGGTCCTCTCGGCGTTCGGTCGTCCGGATGAACGGGGACAAATTCCGTCGCTTCGTCAAGGCCCCACCCAGGAACTACTCTGTCATCGTCATGTTCACTGCCCTGCAGCCTCAAAGGCAGTGTTCTGTCTGCAGGTATGCACACGCACACACACACAGACACACACACAGACACAGACACACTCGAGGCCGCTGCACCTTGTTTAGGCCATGATCTGCATGGCTCCTCCTACCTTTACAGCCCCTAGAACTCATCTGATAATGTATGTACCCTTCTTCCACATGCACATAGAGATTTATAAACCTTGGGGAAAGACAGAAAACAACATTACATAACAAAAACCTGTGGATCACGTTGACGTTTGGATCAAAGGGACTCCAGCTGGCTGTATTACCAAAGGGTATGAATAAATTCAACAGAACAAGGCCAACGAGACCAAAATCCAGACAGCAAGCTTTAAATTTGATTTATATTTACAAAACCAGACTTGAATCATGTTTGCAGCAGAAATGCAATGGGGCGGGGTCAGGGACTAGCCCAAAATGCTCATACAAGATTAGAGGTTTGATTTAATTTTTTAGTTTAAAGTTTAAATAAATTCCAATTTGAACCCAACAGCTTGAACTCCCTGACGATCCCAGTATTTCAGGACCATGGACAGCTCTGCACACAGCACTGGGCTCTGTCCATGGTCCTGAAAGCTACTTTGGAGTCGAGGTTTTCTGCGATCATCATGTCTCAAATACTGGATTCATGCTATTACGACACCGAAACCAAGACGACTGCAGCATGATGAGCAAGAGTAAACACAGGAGTACATCTATATTTTTTTATTCAGATGTACTCATGTATTTATTGCAGACATTGTTGTATATGATAATATGCACACTACCTCATATACGGGTGAAAATGTAGAGAGCCCCCTATTTGGATTACACACAGCATGCACACAGAGGAAACCAAAGTTGTTATTTTTGTAAAGCTTTTCTCAGGGTAATGTGAATTGCAGTCAGCGCTTTTATATTTTATGTTTCTGGCTCGCTGTGATTGTTTTTCATTGCATTTTTACTGTTGTTTTCCTTGTTGCACTCACATTTACACCCTCGTTAAGTGCTTTGTTACTGTAAATGGACGGAGTTGCAACTAAAGGCGGCGGGTGGTCTGCAGATTTTTCTTATATTATCCCACAAATCAGTTTCTCTATTATTATTATTATTATTACTTTGTATTATTACTTCGTAAACCCAGGTTTGAGTTGTATATTCCTGAATAAAAAAAATAGACTAATGTGGAAACCAGGCTTGCCTAATGTTGCCTAATTGACGTTCATCACATTGGCATGCGTGGTACTGTATAAATCCTGCAGTCTGGTCTCGAGTAATGTATGACTCTGTTTGTGTGTGTGTGTGTCTCTCTCTCTCTCTCTCTGTTTGTGTTTCTCTCTCTCTCTCTCTCTCTCTCTCTCTCTCTCTCTCTCTGTGTGTCTTTCTCTCTCTGTCTCTGAGAGGAAGAGTTAGAGTAACGGATGGATGTTAGACGGTGACCTGAGTGTCTGAGTTAAGAGGACTTTCGGGCAGTGAAAAGACAGCTAATCACTGAGGTCCTCAGACCCACATCACTCTTCAGCTTTGTCCCAGTTCCATAGCGCGTAGTTTTTCTAACTCGGCAATTTGTAAGCATATCGATGGCCAGTATTTTGACACAATGACACATGGCATTGAAATGGTCACGTGACCACAAGGGGTGCAGAAAAAGATGTCAGCAGCAGAACAGAGACTCAGAGGGGACTCACGAGAAAACTAAAGTTACTGTAGCTTTATGGGATAGGAACCTAGGTACAGTTTAGAGTTACTGTAGCTTTATGGGATAGGATCCTAGGTACAGTTTAGAGTTACTGTAGCTTTATGGGATAGGAACCTAGGTACAGTTTAGAGTTACTGTAGCTTTATGGGATAGTAACCTAGGTACAGTTTAGAGTTACTGTAGCTTTATGGGATAGGAACCTGGGTACAGTTTAGAGTTGCTGTAGCTTTATGGTATAGGAACCTAGGTACAGTTTAGAGTTACTGTAGCTTTATGGGATAGGAACCTAGGTACAGTTTAGAGTTACTGTAGCTTTATGGGATAGGAACCTAGGTACAGTTTAGGTGCCTTGGCTGTCTTTACCCGAGTGGGTTCTCTTTGTTTTTTTGAAAGGCAAGTAAAAAGAAGCACTCTTTACTTCTCCCTTTGCTTGTTTAATTATTCGCTTTTTGGAAATATATATTTCACCGTAGCAGAGGAAGTGCATCCACCCCTGTATTCAGTGCTGATTTATAAGGAGACTTTGTTTTAGATAAATTGGTTGGTTGTCATGCTTACATTGATAAGATGGGACACAAATTAACAAACGGAAAACTTTTAACATCACATTGTCTTTTAGAGCGTTTTCCCATTCAACACAAATGCGATGATCAGTTCAAGTTTGGGATCCCATAGTGGAGACAGGTTGGGTTTGGGGGAAACACTCTTAGAGCAAAAGTGAAATGTATTACTGATTTAAATGCAGATTAAGGATACAGGTAAGGGCCGTACGTATGTTGAGCTAATTTGCATGTATAAATAAAGTTTGAAAATGAATAGTATAATGTTTAAAGTTACACATCTTTTATGCCCATTGAATAATCAGATAATGTTTTATTAAGAAAACAAATCTGGATAATGTTTTTACATCACTGCTGTAAAACATGATTGAAGTGTCTTATGCTGAAAGACAAACAACTTAACATCTTACATTCTCACAATATATATATATATATATATATATATATATATATATATATATATATATATTTCTTTATTTTGCTTTATTAATTTATTGTTTTTTTCCATTATGATAACATTTCCTAATAAAAGGAAAAACCCCTGCAACCAAAATAAAAGTCTTTCATCATTAGCACAGTTGTCAGAAGGTAAATAAACAACAAAGAAATAAATAACATGGACTCTTAGGACAGTTAAAACCATATCTCAGTGACACGTTGACAACTCCAGCAAATTGGTGTTCACAGATAAGATAGGGAAGAGAGATGAGCCCCACTGTACTCACTGCTGGCCTGATTTTCAACTTCATCTCCGCTGACTTTTTGAGACGGTAGATACTTCAAAGAGACGTAACATTAGCCCCAAAAATAACAATGTAACACTGCCGCACATAACACATCTTGACAGACAATTTCCTAACTAATTAAAGCCAGCACACGAGGCAGTTGACGCAAGACACTATGTCAAAGTGAACTTTAGCAGATGGAAGGAGACATGTATCTAATGTCAGAGACGAGGGAAGGAGGGAGCTAATAGAAAAGGGAGACGGCCTCTTGGCATTTCCGTGTTTATCTTGTCATGTAGGAGGATAAGGGCGCAGACTGGACTGACTATGACTGGTAAAAGAAAATAACGCCTTCATTGGGCTGCATTTGAACATAATAGAAATAAAATGACAAATGAGATTTGTGGAAGTGTACACTTTCTGTTTCTTACTCCTGTCATCTTTTCATGTTTCTTTGTTCCTCATTCCTGCTCTCTCTCTCTCTCTCTCTCTCTCTCTCTCTCTCTCTCTCTCTCTCTCTCTCTCTCTCTCTCTCTCTCTCTCTCTTAAAGGCAGGCGAACGAGGAGTACCAGGTCCTGGCAAACTCGTGGCGTTACTCATCTGCGTTTTCCAACAAGCTATTCTTCACGGTAGTGGACTACGATGAGGGAGCGGATGTTTTCCAACAGGTAAGTCATTTATCACTTCCCAATGTATTTACCGAAAGCCACTGCAAGTTGAGACTTGTATCCTTCCTTTTTCACCCTCCATCCCCTCCTCGCCCCGCTCGCTTGCACATAACGCCCCTCTTTTGTTCTCTAACGTTATGCCGGTCCCTCATCATCACCCACCCCATGGCTTTAATGAAACACGTTCACACAGCAGTGTGGCAGCCACTGAAAACACCACTGTCCCTTGTCGCTTGTTGTTTAAAATCTGCTGGCTTGTTATTTTTTTTTGTGTTTATCTGACGAAGCTACAAGACCGAGGAAATACATATTTGACACCAAAGGCTAATTACTGTGGGTAGAGGATTATTTTTATCATTGGATTTACCTGACTGCTGGAGGTAATTTGCCAGCTGCAAACCGTATTAAAACTCCATATGTTGGATGAAGAAAAAATGAGAACAGAAAAGTCACTGAAATGTGGCGTCTCTCTCCTCCTTCACCAATCCCCCCCCTCCTCCTTCGCATTGTGGTCCACTAGTGTCGGACATTGACAGTTTGCGGCCGACAGTTCCTTCCTTTTTTTTATATACCCACAAACAAACAAGCATACAAGCAAAAAGGGAATTTAATGCTTAAAAGCGCATGCAAACAACTCAAAATATACACACCACTCGCAAGCAGAGGCTTTGTAGAGTAATGTGTGTTATATAGAGAGCTGCTTCCATTCCACGTACACAAGAAAATATCCCATCATGTTCTGTTCTGCTTTTTTTTACCTTGTCTTTTGACTTTTTTTTAGTGCAAACACTAAAAAAGGCCCAGTAAACAGCATTTAATGGTTTGAAAGAATTGGTCCAAAATTTCAAATCTGGTTCATTTATTGTTATTCGCTTCTTATTTATTATATAGGTGTGTGGAAAGTTAGATTTTTATAGTCACACATACTTATTTTTGTAGTTTTATTCTACTTTACCATGAACTAGAACGTATTAATTGTATTGGACTGTAGATGTGGTCCACTGTGAGGAAAATGATTGATGACTGAATTGAAACCCATCTACAATAATTATAATACACGACTGTTGCTTTAAACAGAGTTAAATATCCTGAGAAATAATTAAAGAAATCATTTTATTGTTTAACTTTTGATCCAGTGACACAGATTACAGACTCTGCTGTGCGGTGACGTTGGTGGTCTACAGGAGATTTTGACACTTGTCAATCTGTGGATATAAAATCATTTAGGTTGTGTTCTAGCTGTAAAACCAAAATGCAGACAACGGATGGGCTCTCCCACAAAACAGAGGGACAAAGACAAGAAATAAATGCTTTTTGTAACTACAAAACTTTGTTCCTCAGTGTTTTTCTTCTGGTGTGGCTTCTATGATATCAGAAATGTTAAGATACATTAAAAGATCTTCAACACCAACGAATGGCTGCTGTCTGCAAGCACTTTTTACCTAAATACAGGAAAAAAGATACCAAATACAGAGGTAAATTCCCAGTTGTCCCTTTTATCCTACACTCTATACTCTTAGAGCTTTAAATAGCTGTGCTCAGTTAGAAATAGCCTTGTTTTGCTTCTTTGATTTATTTTAGACCAAGGAACCCAATGAAGGCAGCACTAACACATGGTACCACATGGTCCTTTAAAGACATTTCTCTTTCTTCTTCCTACTTCAGAGTTTGCTGGCCATTTTTCCCTTTTATTGATTTAATTATTAAATCTTTCCCTCTGACTTTCCTGCAAAAAGGCTTTCTGCTTTTCCCAATTCTGTCCACTTATGTTCTTGTCATGAGAAAAAAAAAGAATAGGCTAGTGAAGTTTAATTACATTTCCAGCCTCTTTCTCTTTCCTCTTACTGTTTCCATGTGTGTTGGCATGAATGCACACTTTTGTATTTGAATTCATGGACATGCATACCCGGGATACCCGGGACAAAATGGAGAGGAGGAGAAAAGGATGGAAACGAGAAGAGAAAAGGATTCTCACATTTACATGCTTATCCTTTTCTCTTCTCGTTTCCGTCCTTTTCTCCTCCTCTCCATTTTGTCCCGGGTATCCTGGGAACAACGGAGGAGTGAACTAGTTGACTTTATCATTGTTGATCGTTGCAGGGGTCCTGGGATTTGGAGTTAAACCGAATGGAAACATGGAGGGAGGGAGAGTGGAAGGAAGAGAAAGTTCTACTAGTTGTCTTTATTTAGCTGGGTGTGTGAGTAGAGGAGGAAAAAACAGGTGACACAGTAATGCAATTCTACAGAAGAATATATTTTTGCAAATGAATTATTGGAGATATCCTCGCTATTCAATTATTAGCTGTGATAGCTAACACCCCCCCATTTACTGTCATGTAATTAGGTAAAAAACACAGAGAAGCATATGAAAAGATTGAAAAGCAATACTCTGATGAGGTTTGTTATGTATTATGGTCTTTGAGGGTTATTATTTGTCACCAATGTTGTGCCAAGCCTTTTTGATATCGAGTATTTGCAACATCGGGACCGAATACTTCCATTTTCCGACAAATACAGTTGCATAGCGCCACTATGTAGCCGGTCAGACATTGGTAGGGTGTTTTAAACAACTGAATAACTCTGCATGATAATACATCATTTGCATCACATTATAAGTTATAGATATTTGTGCATCCCTAATTTTTAGTTGTAGATCCCTACTTTGGGCATCACTCACGAACAAAGCTCTGTGTGTGTGTGTGTGTGTGTGTGTGTGTGTGTGTGTGTGTGTGTGT